TAACTGCGTGCCTGACACCTTGTATCTGAAGGGCTACCGATACACTGACGGGAGTGAGATGCATGCATCCACACCGGGCAAGGTGAGGTCGCGGGCACCGCCAGCGGCCGAGAGGGAGGATGAGAGACGAACTGATGATTTGCGTTGACCACGGACAGGCAGAGCACGCCAAATGATGGCGAGATGAGGGGAAGCTATCCCTGTCGGTGTCCAGGCCACCACTTGTGCAGTGTAAGAAGCTGGCGTCGCAGCGTAGTACGAAAACGAGCGCGGGCGGGGAGAAAGAGGGCACATAATGACCGAACCAGGTTAACTTGAAATCTGGATCTGATATACGATAGGGTCAAGGAGAATAAGACGAGGGGAATTTGATAGTGATGGGAGCACCACGGAGCGGTAGTCGGCATCGGAGAAATAGGTTGATCGGATGCCGTGACCTGGGGAAGATGCAGGTCTGGCTTTGATCGAGAACTGGTCTGGTCAGGTCAGTCCGGTCAAGCGTGTGGTCGCATCTGGAATTTGCGAAAGGCGCATGGGAAAGTGAGCGAACCGGAGATGGCGCTATGTTGGTTGAGCAAGCGCCCAGGGTCCGGAAGGAGGAGCGCGAGGCCACCACCTGGCTAAAGACAAGACACACACGGCAGATACGGGACAGTCACAGACAGAGCTTCGTGGTCCTCACCTCATGCAAGAAACGTGGGTTTTGTGGCCGCGGAGAGAAAGGCCGGGTCCTCGAGGGATGGAACCTGCCATGAGCGACCTAACGCAAAGCAAGGGAAAAAAGCCAGGAACAGGAACAGGAACAGGAACAGGAACCACCTCGTGAACAACACACGGCGGCGGCAAGGGCAGGACGCGGAGCGGGCAACTCCAACCCTAGGAAGGTGAGGTCGCAACGTGGTGGCTTGACGGACTTGGGATAGGACGAGGGGGCTAATCGTACCTTCCCAGGTTCTCTGTCGTTCCTTCCCTTGAGCTTCCCCTCACTGCGACCTTCCTTCCGTCTCGTTGCGCATGGCAGCAGGCTGCTCTTTCTGATCTGCGAGCTGAGGTAAGGAAGGAACGGCAAGAAACACGCGAGGTTGGTTTTGGTTGCCCCTGCCGTAAGTAGACGGGAAGGAACGAGGAGGAACAAACGGAAGGACCCAATGCACCGGCAGGACCTGGAAGGAAGGAAGGAAACAAACACCACATCTAAGGCAGGAAGGTGAGCAAGTAAGGTACCTACCCACGCTACCTCAACGAAGATACGAAAGAAGCTCCCGATACTCTGGGCTGGCTTTGGCGATTGCCTTGCACTAAAACAAGCCAACATCGCCGTGCCAGGAGAGTCTGACGCCCCCAAATTCCCCATCCAAGCGGATACAAGTCCGCAGTGCTGAGAAAGGAAACACCTAGCTCGAATGGCTCCAATGGCGCTGGCGGGGCCGATCCGGGCCTCGCAATCCCGACTTTGGGCGAAAGCCTTCCACCCAAACACCAAGCCACCCTACGAATACAATCCTCATTTTCCAGCTACGACGTCCACCTCATTTCACTACCTAAACTTACGCGGTACGGACACAGCCAGAAAGAACCTTCGTGACGATGATGAATCAGGGCGTCCGCCGCAGGTAGAGAGGTAACAGGTGCCGCGCCCGCGTCATGGTCTCGATGCGTCCCGTGTCTAGGTACTGATCCAATCAAGGACTCCGATGCATCAATCATCGTCTCAATGTGTGCCCGAGCCACACCCACTCTCCCACACCACACGCCTCTCGGCCACGCTGCTGCTGCCGCGGTGCACACCAACACCTTTTTCCACACAGATCTTGGTCCTCCATCGCCCATCGTTCAGCTTCTGCGTCTTGCTGCTGCATCCTCCATCGTCGTCCATCCAATTGGGGTAACCGCCCAGTTGCCTGAGCGTTCCGAGACATGCAATGACGCCTTGTCTTCTCTCTTGCTCCTTGCCTTAGCTTACCTCACCTTCATTGCCGGCTGCCGTTTTCTGCTTTCTGCCCAGTATCTGTACCTTCGGTGCGGCGAGCACCTCACCGCGTTGGCTGACGGTCTGGCTGCCCATGGCCACCTGCATCTCGGACACGCCTAATCAAAGCCCGCTCGCTACCTACGCGCAACTTCATCGGCGTCAAGACGCCAGCTCCGCCCGTCAGCCTGAATGCCCGTATCAGATCATTCCAGCCGTTGTCCGGAGCCAGTGAGGGGCGAATATGCGCACAGCTCGATCTGATGTAGCTTGCAGAGTGCAGCAACAAGACAAAGGAATCCCATCTGGGTACGGATACATCCACTCACTCGGGTGGATATCGCAGCCGCCTCCAGCCTGCAGCTTCCCTACCTAGCCTGATCCATTCTCTCCCCATGGCGGTGCCGCCGTCGTGGCTGTCATGGTCGCACAATTAAGCCATCATGTCTGGAGAAGCCCTTTGTAAGCCAACGAGACAGGACAAGGGCATCTGTCTCTCTGCCAAGGACCAACGCCAGACCCGGCCAGACCGCAACATGAGGGAAGGAAATCTGGACGGTATCAATCAGACGAAAGAACTGCACCACCATCCCGTCTGGAGGTCCATCGCGCCTCATCCGCATCCTGGCTGCTGGCTGGCAATGATGGTCCCCCGGACGGCACACTCTAGGGTGTACATGGTACTTTGACACCTCACCTTGCCTTCACCTTACAGCAGCTACTATTCGTAAAGCAGAGTCCAGAGCGCAACAGAGAGGCATCGCCTCCGCCATTACTGGGTACTCGATGCCGCTGGATGCCGCTACACCCATACGGATGGCCGTCCGGCATGACTTGGCACTTGAACCCCCCCCACCACGCTTCATGTCCAGACCAGGTGCGAAGGACGTCCCGCTCGGCCAAGACGCATGCCACTGCAGCCCTGCATGGACCAGCAACCGGCCAGCGGTCATGGTCCTTGGAACCTGGAAGAGCCCTGCCCATTCGCTGCCGCAGGCGGTACTTTGTCCCTTTCCGCCCTTCTCCAACCCACCTTGCGCGTCTCAAACCATGCACTTCGTCACCGTCAGTTCCACCTCCTGGTTTCTTGTGCATGGCATCTGTTCGAGCAGCAGATGCCATCTGAGGCCCATTCCTACACCACCATGCCACCACACTGCCCGGGCTCAGTACGGGCACCAGGGCAATACTAGTTTTCTAGGGAGTACCTGAGTACCTACATACATCCAACGCCTGCCATGCTGCAATGGAATAATACACCGTGACCTAGACATCGCTCCCGGTCCAAACCTGCTTTTTGGCCCTGGTGCTTTGCAACCACTTCAGCTTTGCAGTTCCCGTACTGCTCCCGCTCCCACAACTCCGTTGGCTGCATAGCAAGCGTGCACAACTCGCCTTTGATCCTGGTAACTGACTCTTATTGCCCATGCCCACGTCTTAAGACGTTCTATCCGTACGGAGACCTTACCTGGAGAACGGCCAGACAGGCATGCTCTCTGATGTGGAGCATCCGTCGGGCTTAATCGATAGACGCTCGCTCGGTCTGGTCCGGTGCGCAAAGCCTCAGACCCATGCCATCTCTGCTTTAATTGCGCCTATCCCACCATTAACCACCGCCTTTCTCTGTTCGTCCTGGTCTCCATTTTGGTGATCTATTAGACCCCAAGAGTGCCCACCCCTTTCCTCTTTGCTTCATTGATCGCGCTGGTACTCGACCTCACCTTGCTCCTGCCGTGCTTGGTTTTTATTTTATTCATTCACAGTGAGCTCTACATCAACCGGCCCAAGCTTATCACGCCATTATCCTGACCCTTCCCGCACAGGCGCACTTGCTTTTGGGATCCAGGGAAAAAAAAAGACGAAACCGCGAGTTCCAAGAACAGAAAGAAGGCAGGCTACGGAATATTTGCGCGGCATGGCAGTGTCAAGGTCGTCGTAACATCATCTTGCCGGCTGGACCTCCTCAGCCTGCCCTCCGACCTCACCCTCTTCTTCGCCCACCCGCCTCGTCTTCACCGGCTTGCTACAACCGCGACCTGGTGCAGGCGCGAAAACCAGGCCGCACTCCAAGTGCCAAAATGGGCAACACACACTCGATCGAGTCGATTCAGCAATCCGACCTTCACAGCAGCAGCAGGAGAGCACCTCAAAAACTTTCCAAACCGAGAGTCGGAAACCATGGCTCGATATCTTCGGCACAGGCAGCTGGCCTACTAGGCAGCCACAGCCGCACCGGCTCCGTCAGCCTCCCGCCTTCTCGATCAAATTCCCGCGTCATGTCTGAAGCTTTTTCACCCGAGCCTCCGACCACCAATGAATTGCAGACCGACACATCTTCGCCAGCCGAAGCTTTTCCTCCAGTACCACTAGAACCCGAGTCTAAGCCAGAAACGCCGGCCAGAGACTGGAAGCGGAGAGCAAGCTTATTCCGCTCCAAGAGCTCCCAAGAGGCGCGTCGCAAGGATAAGAGGAGGCAGACAATATTAGTGAGCCCGGAAGCTGAAGATAGGATGTCGAGGGCAAACTCTATGACTTGGGAGTCTCAGAAGGACATGGACCAAGCCAGGCAGCTCCAAGTGGACAGGTACGTGACACCGGCTGGCCGCACGTCGGTGCACTTTAACTAACCTCCTGAAACAGCTGGCTCGTTCCTGGAAACCGACAATCCATAAACTACAACTTGATGTCCTACGAATCCAGGCGATTGCTAAATCTGAGTGAAGATCTCGCCGCTTGCGAGGAGAATTCCATCATGTCCGACAGCAAATTCGAGGCTTCACCTTTCCAGGTGACGGCCAATACGTGGAAGAGTTCGCATCCGCACCAGCCGCCGGCGACAACACCAGCAACACCAGTAGCAGCACCGACAACACCACTGCCACTGCCACTTCCCAGGGCCAATTCTGACGTTTCTCTCTACGCCCCAGTCCGGCGACGATCCATGGTGCAGACACCAGGAGTCGCGACTCGCATTCCTTCGGCAACTGACTACTACTACTCCGCATCGAGGAGATCAAGCTTTCGGCACAGCATGCCGTCGACCCCAGCCGGCGGGCGATCGAGATTGAACTCTATTGAGGGAGGCTTCATGGCCCTGAATGAGCTTATAGAAGCAGAGCCCATGCCGGAGCTTCTGCCGCCGCCCGTCCAAGAGCCCGTTGAACGTGCCCTCACACCTTCCGACATGGACTATCGACCACTAGGCACGATGAAATTCGGATCGTTGCGAATCACGAACGGCGAGGCTAGCCCTCTTCCCAGCCCGGACCTCGAGCCGTCAATCGAACACCAGGCGATGGCGGAAAAGCTTGCGAACGATGATCTGAAGGGCGAGTTGGAGTATGGTAACTACGAGGTTGAGATTACTGTGTCGCCGGCACAGCGTGGTGCTACGCCCAAGGGACTCGGTCCGATTGAGACGACTTTGCTGGGGGTGGAATCACCCAGGTTACGAACAGACTCGTTAGTGGCCTCCCTTGCCAATTCTTGCAGAAGACGTCATTTATTGTAATAAATCGTGAGAAGACTCACGCTGACTCCACATTAGGCCGCTCAGCCCCGAGCTAAAGGTTGCATCCAAGCACACAGCGATGGAAGATCAGCTGTTCGAGGACGATGTGCAGGTTGAATATTCGGCCGAGATTCTAACCGTCAGAAATGACCCGAACGCGAAACCGTCTCTTGAGCAACTGCAAGCAGACCAGTCTCAGAAGCAATACCAGGGTGTCGTCCGCGCTGACAGCGGAGTCGTCACCAGCCCAACGACGGAATACCAGCCTAACAAGCCGCTGTCCAAGGCTGATTCCGGCTACAGTTCGAATGTCTCACTGAGGTCGTTCCATGCCAAGCCAAATGCGACCGGAAAAGATCGACCGGCACGCGTAACCACGGAGCAATTGGGCGACGAGAAATCTGTCTCCAACTCATCGCCCTTGTTTGCTGTTCCAGCAATCAGCACCATTAATATCGATCAGGTTGCGATTGATGCAGCTGGCTCAGACTCTGCCTCTTCCACTCCTCCGCCTGTGCCACCCAAGAACGATTCCATGACTTTGCCAAACACTAACACGATGACGATCACCTCTCCGAGACACTTGCAATTCTTCAACCTGGCTCGTCGGGACCGGAAAACGACTTTCGATATGGCCAAGGCCGCGGAAACCGGCCCCACATCGCCGCAGCCCGCTGAATCTAGCGCCGCCGAGTCCGATAAGCCTTCAACTATGACAATTGGTAGTGGCTCTCAACGCGCAAGCAAGTTTCAGCGATTCCTCACCGGCTCGGGTATGCGAGGACCTCCGGCTGTTCATGACACCCATGCCGCCAACGATGCCGTTCCTACTGTACCTCAGGATGTCCAGACCAAGCTTGAGGAGCACTCTGGGCGGTTCCCATTGTCCGCCAGGAGGTTGACTCTTCGGACCCGGGAAAGCAAGGACACCTTGAAGACGATCTTCAGCGTCGGCAGTATCGAAATTGGGCAATCCGATGCACCAGACCTGGCGCCTATTGACAGAAAGATTGTCGTTAGGAAGCCAGTTCTCCAGGCGAGCGAGGCATCTGAGGTACCGAAGACACCCAAGACTCCCAAGACTCCCCGTCGTCTGTCGTTCCAGAATGTTGGCTCTACGATCGGACAGGCTGCTGCCTCGGTGATGCCGCGGCGCTCCATTCATCGGAAGCCTGTTCCATCCGCCAGTGCTGAGAAGGCGAAGGAGGAAGAAACCAAGGCCGACGAGATTCACAGCGGATTTGAATCCAGGATCACTGCCATTGGCAGTGTGAGCGACAGTGTTGGTAAGAGTTCTTTCGACCAAGCCTTCATGGCTCTGCCTCAATCGAGAGAGGCCGAAAGACCCCGCTCAGCTAGTCGCACCTTCACGATGACAGCGCAGATGGAGCGCAGTATGGGAACGCACCTTCGCGCACAAGGCCAGATGCCCTCGATGAACGGTGATGGCGGGCTTGCTCCTTCGCCCCGCAGCCAAACCTTCTCTGAGGCCGATCTCAGAAGAAAGACGTCGCCTCCTGTCAGCTTGCACACTCGAAGCGGCAAGAGCCTTCGAAAGCCTGCGCCGCTGCGCCCGAAATCATCATCATCCAGTGAGGGGCAACAGAGACGGCAGAGTTTGTCCAGGCAAACCAGCCGCGAGGCGATCTACAGTTACCCAGCAGCATCCCCCGGAGGAATTGACGAGACACTGGACGTCCCTCCCGTTCCGCCAATGAGCCCTCGCAGATACACAATGCTTGAGCAGGAGTACGCGATGCGCCGTCAGGCTTCAGATGACAAGTGGCGTCCCAGCAATCAAGCTGGTTTGCCCCCTCCCCGTCCCGCCATGCGGAGCATGTCTACCATGTCCCGGGCACCTCCTCCTCGTCAACTCCGCCATCGGGCAAGTTACGACGGTTACTCTCAGCAGTATCGAGGACCAGTAGCGCGGGGGCCTCCTCCAATGAGCCAATCCGCCAGTCAAAGTGGCGCCTACTACCAGCAGCAGCTTCTGAACATTGAACAGCAACACTGGGAGCAGGAAGAAGACATTTCTCCTGACAATGCGCAGCCCGGTCTACACAGAACCCGCAGCCGCAGTCGCAGTGTGCATACAAGCGGCAACCCGCCCTATAGAGTCCTGCACAGCTACAACTCTCCAGCCTACCGCAACGTACCCATCTGGGGCTGAGACTCATTCTCTTCCTGCCCTCACTTTCTTGCAAGATGGCGAGCACCATCAATGGTTTCAACCAAAAAAACATTGCAAGCGTTTGAAACGACCCTCCAGTTCGCGCGACCAAGCGCCTCTTCTGTTCGCATTTCCCTATGTACAACTATTGCGCACACACTCGACGTTCGGCAAATCACCGACGTCTGCATGAAACGGTGACTCCTCTCACGAGCGCCCAAGGAATTTTCGGATGTTCTTCTCGCCTTTCTTTGAACATACACATACACTGTTGGATACCCACGGGGCCTGATGAACACGGATAAACACGGCCAACACATGAGAATTATACCACAAAAACAAAAACAAGGTTTTCCCCTCCGTTGAGAGGGCGGCACAACAGTACACGACTCTTTCTCGTCTCTATGGATTTGGCTCTTGGTGGTCAATCGGCGTTATGGAATACCCATGAAATTGCTAGGAGGAGGAGGTCAGCAGGGCACAATATGCTTTGCAAGGCTGATCTGGGCAAGAGAAATGCATCGTGAGCAGCTCCGGTGATGTAGGACAAACACGTTGGCGGGGTTTAGGTATCAGCCGTTCCCCGCCACGAATACAAGATGTTGACAGTGCCTGGTTCATTCTCCGTGACATGTGACTTCGCAGAATCAAGGTGGTCCTCCTGGAACTGCAAATTATTCGGCATAATTCTCATACAACCTTTGACATGTTCTCGTCCTTTCCAAGCTCATTCTTCAATACGATTGCCCGCTCATTGTTCTTCTTCGCCCTGTCCGTACTGACGGTACACATCGACGCCACCGTCGCCGCAACGCCGAACCCAATAGCCACAAGATACACGAGCCGAAAGCCCGCAACGTACGACTGCTTGGTCGCCTCGATCGCCAACGTCGTCAGCCGCGGCGTGACCCCGGCGACGGCGCCGTACGCTGCCGCCGTATTCGTCCCCGCCGCCTTGACCAGGCCGGCCAGCAGCGACTCGGAGAAGTCAACCCCCGAGGCGTCGATTGCCGACTTCATCTCGCCGGGCAACACGTCGGCGAGGCGAGAGGAGTAGATTGCTGTGTAGATTGCCGTTGCTACTGCGCCGCCGAAGAGGCGGAATGTCCCAGCCAGACCGACTGCTACGCCCCTGGGTTGGTGCTCAAGTCAGCCAAAGTCGAAGATGGGCTTGGTGTGTTATGGGCAGGAGGAGACTTACAAATCGTTCTGGTCTTCCAATCCAAAGGACAGCATCGTGAAAGAGAGCAGCTGGGGCGGTGTTATGGTGATGGCTGTGATCACGACCGTGACGATGGCTTGGGCGCGGTCGTTGGATCCGACAGACGCCATTGAGCCGATGAGAGCAGTCTGTACGACGGTGAATCCGACCAGCTGCCATTTCTCGTGGTGCAGGCGCGAGCAGATGAAGACGGTGATCAAGCCGGCGGCTAGTTCTCAGTCAGTTTCACTAGGTATCAAACATGGCAGGTTCCGGATGGGCTTTACTCCAGGTGCCGCAGGAGAACACAGTCGCGTAGACTCCTCTCAGGATGGTCTCCTCCGGCCCGACGAAGAAGGCTTGCGACTGTCTGGGCCAGAGGACGTTCATGCTGTAGTACAGCATGCCCCCGACGAAGCATACCACCATGACCATGTCGAACCTGCAATCAGTCTATCAGCAAATACGGACGGCGTGAAGTTTCGGTACGCCGCCGACTTACTCTCTCACACGCCTGAACAACTTGGGAGGGAACAGCGGGTACTCCAGCTCAGCAAACGCATCCCAGACGCCGACACCAACAAAACAGCAAACCCCCAGCACGATGGGCGCGATCGTGCCCGGGTGCGTCCACGGATACGTCCGCCCGCCAAAGTTGATGCCCAGCAGGAACAGCACGCCGCCGGCCATGAAGAGGAACACGCCGACGTAGTCGAGTTGCGCCAGAAGCTGCAGCCGCGTCTTGCCATTCCTGCGGTGCTTCATCTCAAAGTCGGGCGGGCGGTAGAAGAGGAACAGCAGCACGAAGGCGGCGCAGTGGAAGGCGAAGAGGTACCAATACGCGCCGCGCCAGCCGATGTCCTGGTGGGCGATGAAGGCGTAGCTCACGAGCGGGGAGGTGAAAGCGAGCGCCAGGGAGACGTCGAGACCGCCGACGGCTTTGACACGGTGGCGGTTGGGCACGCACTCCTGGACGCAGGCGTAGCAGAGCTCCTGGAAGCCGGAGCCGATGCCGAAGAGGGCGCCGGAGACGATCATCTGGTTGATGGAGCCGGCGGTGGCGCCGACGAGGGTGCCGACGATGGAGACGGCGGCGCCGGTCATCATGAAGTAGCGCCGGCCGAAGATGTCGGAGAGGCGGCCGCCGACGGAGACGAGGATGGAGGCGCCGAGGGTCCAGGTGACGGTGATCCAGGTCGAGTTCGGGGAGGGCCCGAGGTCGGCGTTGATGTAGGGGAGGGTTGTGGAGGGGATGAGCATTGTCATTACGTAGGCGTTGATCTGGCCGCATAGTGCCTGTGGGATGAGGATGTTAGATTTTGATGGGTGGCTGAGGGTGTTTGGGATTGGGGGTGGCATACGATGATGGCGAGGATGGTTTCTTTGCTGAGCTTCCCATCGGTTTGAAGGTCGACTTCAGAGGGGGGTGTAGTTGGCGTCGTGGTTTCGACATGTTGATTGGTTTGTTGGTCTGTCTTTTCGTTGGATATGTCCGAGGTGGACGTTGAAGCTGGAGGTGCTGTCGAAATAGCCATGTTGGCGATATATGTGAACAGACTAGGTGTCACCATGAGTGTTGAGCCTCAAGAACAAGACGCAAGAGACGAATTCAAATTTGAGGTCGCTATAAGTGACTATGTTAACCCCACGAAACGTTCCCAACTCCCTGGGCTCGGGTGCAGATATCCCTCCCATCTTTCTCATTGGTTGGAAGCTGTTTTGACAGACAACATCGTCATCGCGGAGCACAACGTTGTACGTCGGTAGCGAAGACCCGGTTGTGAATATGTAATACCTGACTGGCCAACACATTGGGTCCTTAGATCTCGGGGTTCTGGGGACAAGATCCGCCCGAAGCCCCGCCCCCGCAATGTTTCAATGCAGGGTGAGTCGAGAGTCTCAGTTCTCCAGCATTGGCATCTCAAGCCATGTCTCAGGCTGTGATCCTTTTGGTCTGCAAGCTGGGCTCTTACACACCCTGGCAGAACCAGTCATACTTGCAGCAGAAAGATTACCACAGTCCTAGTAGATAAGAATGCCGCCACTGAAGAAATGGTTGTCTGGATCAAGTTGGATGCAGGGGGAATGCTCGCGAAAGCTTTTCCTGGACTTCAGGATCAACGCCGCGTGAATCATTAGCTCTTTCTGGTCTTGACAATCGCAACTCTTTCAGCCTCTAAGAAAAAACAACAGTTTGCGTATAACCAATTAGTGGGCTTCCAAGATGGTATAAGTCGCATTCTACTCGGACCTTCGTGTAGTCTCTTCATGTCGTGCAATTTCGCTAGATTCGAAATCCACTTATGAAGCCAGTGTGAATTGCGCAACCTGTTAGTCTCCCTACCACTTAAGCAAACAGCAAACATCTCGAACCGCGCCCCTGATTGAACAAACAAAAGCCATTGGTGGATTCCAGAGTCTTCTGGGAACCAACACACACGGTGTTGAGCAGCCGGTGCAACGGAAAAGTTGACCCGAGCCAACAGACAGATACCGCCGTCTCCTGTTTTCCCCCTTCCACACTACTGTCGAACTAGTCGACCAGTCGTCCACTCGGCATACGACCTCACCCGAGACACACATACGCAAACCCCTCACTTCCCAAGTCATCGCCAAAATCCCGCGGAAATCTAACTCAGAAAGAGAGGATATCTGACTCACAATGCGCGTCGCAGTATTCGGCGCGACTGGTGTCCAGGGCGCCGCCCAGATAGCCGCCCTTGCCTCCGCATCTCATCACTCCATCGCCGTGACGCGGCGATCCGTCGACCCCACTGCCAACCTCAAATCCTCCGATGCAGACGGCAGTGGTGCTGACGCCGCCGCCCGCGCTGCACTTGCAGCTGCAGCGGAGACCCGCACCGCGGACTTCACCTCCGTCGAGACACTGCCCGCCGCCCTCGCGGGCGCGGACGCCGTCTTCCTCAACCTGCCGTCCTTTCAGCCCCGCGAGCCCCTGGTCGCGGCCGCCAAGGCTATCGGCGAGGAGGCCGCCGCGCAGTCCGCGACGGTGAAGCTTGTCGTCTTCAACACGAGCTTCCCCGTCCCGGAGCAGGATGCCGGCATCGAGGCGCAGGAGACCCGTCGTGAGATGCGGCGCGTGCTTAGGGAGGCGACCAAGGGAAGTGGCGTCGCGGTGGTCTCGCTCCAGCCGGTTGTGTATCTGGATAACCTGCTCGAGGGCTGGGCGCTGCCGCGTCTCAGGGATGAGGGGCGCATTGTGTACTGCCACAAGCCCGATCTCGAGGTCTCCTGGATCTGCCACGATGACCTGGCGGCGTTGATGGTTGCCGCGCTGGAGCGGGATCCGAAGGAGCTTGACGGGCGGGACATCCCCGTGGGCGGCCCGGAGACGGTGCGGTTGTCGCAGCTTGCGGAGAAGCTCGGCCGCGCGTGGGGCCGGGAGGTCGGGCACGAAAACCAGAGCGTCGACGACTTCGCGGGTGAGATGGCGGCGGCGTTGAAGGGCGCGCTGGAGTCGCAGGCCGGCAAGGGGGTGGAGACTGTAGTTGAGGAGACGAGGAAGGCTTACACTTGGTACAACGAGGCCGAGGAGAAGCCTTTCAAGGTTGATATGGGGTCGGTCTTGAAGGAGTTTCCCGCCAAGTTGACGCCGATTGAGGAGTGGGGGAAGCGCAAGGGGTGCCCGATCAAGACGAAGTGAGGATTGTGAGTGGAAGGCATGGCGGCATCAGTGGGTTTACATGGCGGCGGTCTCTTTGAGCGTTTTCGTTTTCGTTGCTTGAGGTGGTTGACGATTCTTCTGTGGTTTTTTGTTTGCGAGAAAAAAAGGATTTTTGAAGGCAGTGAAAGAATACGAGTTCACTCATAAATCAAAAAACAAGCCGGGACCGGTGTGCGGAGAAGTGGGGCCGGTGACGGACTCCAACTCCGAAACAACTGGATCTCACTCTTCCCGGAGCTCATGCGCTGAACTGACATCAGTCTACCAAATTTTACCAGTGCATCAAAGATGATTCTTAGCACTATATCTCAATACTTTTGAGAAGTGGGTGGTCGTGCCAAACCTCACGCGTGGCTGTGGATGGGCGAAGCTGACAGTCAAGGAACTAATCACGCATACCTACCTGTACTTATCAATCCGCAGGTGAAAGCCTGCGTTCCACTTCTGCAGGATGCGGGCTTATCATTGGCAGTTATCGGAGCGGGGTAGGAGGCACGGTGCTTCTCACTGAAAATCAGGCTGTGATATGAGGCCAATCAGTGAGCTCATGTCATGTGTGATGTGTTGTCAATCACTTGCTCATGTCTTATGTCTGACATTCTCTTTCCAAAGTGAGCCCCTTCATTCAAACTTCTGCCTCTTAAGCTTTTTGTACAGTTCCGAGAATATCAGAATCGTCTCTACAGTTCCAGTGCTACTGCCAGACTACCTCGCCAATGTCTTATGCATCATGGACGCTTGTCAGACGTGTTCCGTGTTCTTCCATATCTCAGTCTCCCCTCATACCGATATCACTCAGTATGATAGAGAATTTACTTTTGATGAACGAAGAGAAATCGAGGAGTCCGCGCAAAGCTGTAGACTATGTCGCCAGATTCTAAAGGGACTGGGCGGGCATAGCTGGCCCGAAGACTACGACCAGGACCCAGATCACATACCCGACAACTACAACGAAAGACTAAGCATAAGGACATGGGCGTATTCAAGTCAATTCAAAGTTGACGAGAATCGTATATCCTCAATAACTTGGGAGGTGGTGGAAAACGGAAGGAGAATTGGGTGGCGTCCAACTACTCACTGCTCTGTGTGGGCAGACCAATGTATATCAACTCCATCACGATTAAAAGCATGGTTCTCTACTGACTTGGTGGCTTAGCTGGTTTTGCACTCAATGATACATTGAGCCGGAAAACAAGAGCACGCCGTTTTCTGGCGATTTTGCTGACTGGCCTCCAGATATCCAACACAGCCCAGTAGAGATCAATAGTATCACTCAAAAGCTGCTGGGCAATTGCTTGGAACACCATACTTCTTGTGGACTCTCTGTCACGCAGCAACCGGAGACAATAGAGCTGCCATCTCGAGTTATATCTCTACAACATGACGCTGGGGTTCTTTCAGCCAAGCTGATCGAAACCAAAGGCTTGAAAGGCACGTACTGTGCGTTAAGTCACTGCTGGGGACCGGAAGATAAACATCCACCGAAGACCACCAGCGGAAATATCAGCAACCATCTTGCATCAATACCTTGGAGCGAACTACCAAGTACATTTCGCGACGCCCTCAACTTGGTCAGCGCGCTCGGATTCAAGTATCTCTGGATCGATTCACTTTGTATCATACAAGACGACAAAAAGGACTGGGAACACGAAGCAGTGAGAATGCCATCGGTTTATCGCAAAGCTTTCCTCGTAATCGCAGCTGTGAACTCCAAAGACTCTACCGAAGGCCTTGTAGGACCTCAGCTCTTACCACCGACTTTCTAATGCCCCATCACCGTACACAACGGTCCTGATCAAAGCATTCAGCAAGCCAATATACTCCCAATACCAGGCAGTTCAAATCCTTCAATTGAAGGCCTTCTACGAGAAAGAGCCTGGGCTTTTCAAGAGTGGCACCTTGGTCGAAGGATTGTCTTTTTCACGTCAAAGGGCGTCAAGTGGAAATGCAACGAAGTAGAACTCAACACACGCGGGAACTTCCTGGACTTAGAGCTCTATGAAACCAATTCTTGGATACATTGTTTGGACCAGTTCTCGGAGAAGAAATTAACCATTCCATCCGATCGTATGATAGCTCTCCTCGGGATTGTGGCGGAGCTGCAGGAGCATAGGAACGATTCTTTCGCCACTAAGCTTGGTGTTTGGGAACATGGTCTTGCGGAGCAGCTTCTGTGGAGACATTCGGATACGCCATGTTATGACTTTCCCGGCCTTCCATCTTGGTGTTGGGCTGCCACTGACGGAGCGAAAGAATGGGTAACAAAGCTCTATCAGGACCGTCACAGACCCGCTGTGGTGAACCATTCTTTGCAAACCGTCACTTTATTGCAGAGTAGGTTTATGACAGCCTCTGGTCTACTCATCAGGGTAACATCATCATCATCATCATCATCATCGTGTTTCCAAAGATGTTGCATAGGTGAAGACTATAGCTGCATTCCGCCTGAGATGCTCATGCGGCCGGGCTTCGCCGGAGAAAAAGACCACGCAGAGAGAGTTCCAATATACCACGTTGGCGGTATACGTAGCGTACTTGGTTGTGGCGTCTTTGATAGCGGCGCACGTGTCTTAGAGTGCTTTTGCTTCCCCCTGATATTTGAGGAGCGCGAAAAGGGTGATCCATCGTACGTGCTGTCTCGTTTCTGATACCGAGGTTACTTGACTTGCTTCTAACGTACCTTTCTAGCTACTCCGTTTCTGAAATAGGAGACACTGATTCTGGGGGCTCTGATTCGGGAGAATCGTTCAATTGGACCGAAAATCTAGAAGGCGAATCTGAGGATGGCGATGGTGAAGGCAGTGAAGGTGAAGACTCGGACGATCAGAGGAGTACGGATGGCAGCAACTCAGCGTACCCGCAAGAAGACAAGGTGAGTTTCAGCCCTCCCATTCCAAGTCATGGGACGTTGCGGCTGATGCTGGGTAGCACGTGTGCGTGGATTTGAGCGAAGTCATAATTTCTTCAGGAGTCTACTGGTCGTTGCTTCTCCAACCTGTTGATGACACATTGACAAAGTTCAGGAGAGTCGGGATGGCTCTGATATGGCCACGAGGATTGAAGGAAATAGATTCCGATGTCAAGACATTCGAGATTGTTTGATGGAACGGGCTTATGGAGGAGACGAAGGCCAGAAGCTTTGGCGAAGACTTCATGCTCTTTCATCTTTTTTGGTTGGGTCTCAATTTTGTATGTGGTTTTGTTTTAGATATATATCCCTTCAATAGGAATCAACACCTTTGCCTAATGATCGACTTCGCGGCATAAATGAGGTCCAAAAATAGGCGCCTGTTGCCAGCACCATTGATCCAATGTAGAAGGGCCATAAGGTATTAGCCAAGACTCTTGAGGGTATAGTTGGACGCAACATAAGAATACTTTTACAGTTGGCCGTGGTCTCCCCGTGGGATAATTCTCACACAAATATTAGACCATTTGCAAAGCTCAGTCACCTCACGCGTACGTCTCGCCAGCGACAAGTTTCTCCACAGGCCGCGAAGAAAAGCCCACTCGCCGGCGATCTCTGCCACCAGTACCATCCTCCGAGATGAAACCATACTGTAAGTGACGAGCCGCGACGTCGACCTCGTCCTGGCCAGCATGGGCAGCAGCGCTGATGGCCAGGGAACACGATCCCGTGATCGGCATCCCGGGTTCAATTTCCTAGCCGAAAGAACTAGGAGTAACAGGATCATGGCACTTCCGAAGCACAGAGACAACATAATGGGTGGCGGAGAGTACCCACTACCGGTAATGGGCCGACATGGTATTAGTTCGCCGCTGTTATCATAAATCTCGAGTTGTACGAGATATATATTTCGCGACACCGACCAGTGCATAAACGCCATGATGACCATGATGGGCACGATATAGCGGTACGATAGCTGTAGCCAGAATGTGCTTCGCTGCTCGCCGTAAGGCCGGGTTACTCGCATGGGCTTGCGTACCGATGCGAGCGGCTCGAATTTGCGAGAGAAGGCGGTGGTCAGGAGACATCCGACCTTGACAGCATTGAAAAGAATTACGATGTTCAGCAGCGTCGTGCTGACCTGGATTCTGCAATTTCTGGGGAACGGCTTGGCAAGGAAGTATAGAATCGGAGCGGCAAAGGAGCTCCCGCACGAGCCGGACTTCGAGTTGTCGCGACAGACGCCCTCGATCTTCCACGAAGATGCGTGGGCCACCAAATTGTCGAAGTCGCAGTTGCTTCCTGAGTTATCGTAGTTTCCCACATTGCCATGGCATAGCCAGTTTTCACTGTTGTCGGTGTTCTCGGCTTTGTGCGTCAACATCTGGATGATTGCTGTTGTTATTGGAGACCGACGTGACCAGCAGTAGATTCTTCCAAGACGATTCATATAATGAGTTTGATACACTTGGATACATTGTGAGTTGTCGATGCGCGTAGGGCCTCCGGCTTCTGCGGAGGCCTGAATCTCTTTCAGCTGCCTTATATTGGCTGTACCGGGCTCGCTCCATGCGTTGACGCTTTTGGTGAGTTCCGTGTCGTTCTATGCGGCTCTCTTGAGAAACTCTTGTGTAACCAATGCAGCTTGGTAATCGACCGACGATATAGTTGAGAAGATCACGGGTTTGTAGCTGAGAGGAGTTATTTCGGATTTCATCGTAACGATTGAATAAAGGGAAAAAAGCACCCTTACACTTGCACCAGGTGTAGTGGGATCGAGCTTAGAAATAGCAGAGCCCACAAACACACGCGCCAGAACGATATGTGTCCCAAATTACGCACACTTGGAACACCAATATCGATCCATTTGCCCTTCCTGTGTACTCTATCAATATCTCGTCTTGAAGGTGAGGATAGCAACTGCGCACAACTGTTGCTGGCGCGAAGAAACGCAGTGGACATGATGTTGAAGGCGAGGTCGGGCCACAGTGTGTCCTTCTTTCGATTCAATGCAGGAGCCTAAGTATACAAACGAAAATCATCAGCACCATGAACGAACCGTAGAATATGCAATCACTAACTTTCAAAGACGGTAGAAATCCCGTTCGAAACCCCGAAGCGGTATCGGACCCAGACAAGAACGCCCACGTTTGCAATGAGGACAAAAGAAGCAACAACAGCGCCCGCAGACACTGTCGTTCTCCATGAGTTCAGCCCCCTGATCTTACGATCAATAGCGGGCGGATCGTTCTCATATGTGGCAAGTCTAATTTGAGTCACAGGTTTCTTCGTCTCGATCGACATTATATCGGTTGCAAACGGCGATTGCATCGATTGAACGGGCGATTCGTGGCGACAACCCGTATTTGTAGCATTGCAAGCGAGTTCAACGGTTCTTAGATGTAGTGTGGGAATGCAGTAAGTAGAAGCTTTGCGGCGCTTTTAAACTGCGACGCGAACATCCTTTGGTGACAAAGTTGGTCTTCCCAAGTGTTCTTTCGACGGTTTCGTTTCACTAATCTTAGCTTTCTAAACACAGGGCTTGTCAGCTTCAAGCCACATCGCTTCTTCAACTGTCGGTCTGAACCTCGTCAAGCCTAGTTTAGCTCACTGAAAGCTTGCATGTTCAGCCCCGAGTTCCAATCTTGTGAGAGGCTTCGAGCTATGCCTAAAGCTGCCATATCAGCCTTCAAGGCCTGTAGGGTGTTCTTTCTGAGACCAGCCACTTGCTTCTGCACGCATGCCATGAAAACTGATTCATATTAATGAATTCTTCCCCTTCCACCCTCATCTGGAGCTTCGTCACAAAGCAACGCCGTGTCCGGCTCTTTCCCGGGTTCAGAGGCCATTGGTCTCCTTTGGAAGCCTCGTAAGCCATTGACCGTGGACGTTTTCTTCATACGGAATTGGGAGAAGCCGGATCCATTACGCAACCCTAGGCTGCCAGAGAACTCACGGGCAACATCAAATAGCAGACTATCTCGCAGACATCGCAAACGGAAGCTGGGACCAGTCACCTAATGGTGTACGTTGGCGTCCTGGAGCATTGCGGGCGCAAATCAATCGAACGTCACGAGAGATGTGCCCGTTCCGACAACGATGACTGTGTCTTAAATGAGCCACTAGCAACAAACTTCGAGCTCTCCAAGTACCAGGGCGACATCACAGACGATAGAAGCGACCATAATGGCGTGAAGAAGAGCTCTTCCATGCCGTGAAATAGAGCGACCCAAATGGGGAAGCACAGCCGCTCCTCGCCAAGCCATCGACGGAGAAATCTGTACATCACGATCCGCGGCAGCTTGCTCGGAATTCTTGTCGTTGGTTCCGAGAGAAGCATGATTTCAGCACATTGCTAGTCACTTCATCTGAACCGTTGGTTTAGAGTTCTCGCTGCGTCATCGCGGATCTATACAGCTTCTACGGTGGCGCGTTTTGCTTCGTCAGCGGCATCTCCCATTGTTGTAAGTAACCGCGCGGGAAGATCTCCCTGGATCTTGGCGTTCATCCTATCTAGCTCCACGCTCCACTTTGTCATCCGAATCCCGGCAGGGTATGTCCTAGTCTTCTTGCGGTGTAACTCATAGTGTACTGGATACCATTAAAGTCTGTCTTTGTAGCTGTCAGCGTGCGCTGCCCCATGGTTTTACTTGGCTCACTTGATAGCAATTTCTGTGATGGAAGAGCGATAGAACTTACAGGAGCTTCGTTGGCCGACACAGCCAATAAGGTTTGATCGTTGCAAAATTGACGAATCTCTTGATCAAAGGCCACTCGAGTTCTAATAGGCCGATCAAAGCATAGCAATGCAAGAGCCGAGAACAGAGTTCTCAATATGCGAATATCCAAGGTAGGGCTAATTTCTGAGACTCACCTCCATCCCGAAATGCAGATTCGGTAAGTAGAATTGAACAACAAATCATGAGCCGGTGGGATACATAAATGGCAAGACAGCGGGGGCCAGGCTGTGCCATACCATAGTAGGGACGTGATGAACTACATCTTACACCAGTCAGAGCTTCTAATATCTCACCAAATGAAGTTCCTAGCGGTCGGGACTCGGCGCTGTTGCGGATCATTAGAGCGTATGCGTTACTCTGCATCCTGTCATACCCTGTCAAACTCCATCTACGATGAAAGTAAGCTTAGAACTGCAGCTCATCGTGCTGCCGGAACTGCACTTCTGATTCCGAAAAGTAGCGCCAAGACATCTTCGTCATCGCGGAATTCGGAGTCGTGTAGCGTCGAGTTCTAGGCGACAAAGCTGGCCGTGCCTTGGTCTTACGCATGAGAAATCTGCTTGTATACTTGCCGCGCGGGAATTGACAACCCATCATGGATGGATCCCGGCCTCGAAAGCACAGAAATCTACGGAGGCTGGAGTTGAGACCGGTCGCCATCTCGCGAGAGTACGCAAGTAAGTCTTGGCCTCCCTATCGAGACTCGTCGATCGCATGATGAACAGAGTGAGAATGCGAAATCGCTGTCAAGAGTGCTGACGGAGCCCGAGATCACCAGGCTTAGCCGGCCGGGTAGATATAATGAATCGAAAAAGTTCCGAATTTCAGAGGCGGGGTTAACCAGATATAAATGAGCATGCTCACGCTTGAATATCAGCAGACTCTTAGTTTGATACCATCACCATTCCACATCCTCTATTAAATCACAGAAAATTGCACTTGGTTCTTCGTATCGGACTTCTCACCATGAGATTTATACTGCCTCTTCTTAGCGGCGCTGCTCTCGTTGCCAGTAGCAAGACGCCTTCCTCAGTGGCCCAACGTCGCACTCGTCAACAAGCTCTGCCTGATGTTGCCGACTTTGTTTTCCAAAACGGCTCCATCTACACCCTAGATTCCTCTTCAACTAAGGCCAGCGCTCTGGCCATCAAGAATGGCGCGATCATATATGTTGGCGATGACCTTCAGGCCCGGCATTTGATTGGGAATGGCACCAAAGTTCTTGACCTAGAAGGCCGCATGGCAATGCCTGGATTCGTCGATGTGCACATGCATGTGCTGCAGGCGGGACAGAATCTACTGAAATGCGACTTCAACTACCAACGTCTCAGCCGCCATCAGGTCTTAGACCATCTACAGGAATGCATAGACATCGACGGTACCGCTCAAGACACTTGGCTTGACGCTGTCAATCTCAACTACATTGCCATGGTTCTCAGCGGAGAAAGCCTTACCAAAGCGGACCTTGACACACTGAACACGACCCGTCCTATGTCTCTCCGGTCGAACGACTACCACACCTTCGTCCTCAACTCTCGTGCACTGAAGCTTTCCAATATCACCGACTCAACGACCAACCCCCCTGGCGGTGTAATCGAACACCTCCCGGATTCACAAGAGCCGTCTGGTGTTCTTCTCGACGGCGCCAACATCCTAATTGCTGGCCCTCCTGCTTTCACTGACGAGGAGAACGCCGAAGCCGGGCGTGCCGCGCTCCAGATTCTTCGGCAGAACGGCATCACCACTTGGCAAGACGCCTTAGCTACCAACGAGCATTGGGGCCCTTGGAACATTCTCAAAGAAAGTTCTGAGCTCAGCTCGCGTGGCTACTTTGATTACCGCGTCCAGCCTCCGCCGACATTGGATGCTGTTGATGCCGTCGTTGCAGAAACCATCGCCCTACTCGCGTCTCGAAATGACAATTCCACTGTGTCTGCCCAGCCAACTCTCAAATGGCAGGCAATCAAAGCCTTGTTGGACGGTATCATGCCCTTCTCCGCCCGCACAGCAGCAAACACAGATCCGTTCTTGCTCCCTGTACGCAACGGCACGAACGCCACCCAGGAATGGGCGCCTGATCCCAGTGCCATGGCCCCTTTGTACTGGGACCCTGAGATCTTGGCCAAGACTCTGGAAGGGCTGTGGCTGGGCGGCGTCGACGCACAACTCCACGTTGATGGTGATCGAGCTGTCCATGTCAGCTTGGATGCTGCAGATGCCTTCTGGCGCAATCACCCCGATGCTCCCCCGATTCGCCTCGCTCTCGCCCACGCCAGTCTTACACTTGAGGAAGACTGGCCTCGGTTCGCGGAGCTCGGCGTTGATGTGGTGTTCCAATACCAGTTCTCTCAACTAGCTCCGATGTGGATCCCGGACACATTCAACAGCATTGGCGAATATCGCATGGGCAACCTCGATGCCTATGCACATATCGAAGAAGCTGGACGCCCCACAGTGCACGGTAGCGACTGGCCTGTAAGTTCGTTCTCAAAATTTTTGTTTGACGTTCAAACGACTGATTTGTGACCTTAGGTCGATCCCCTTGATGTGTGGTTGGCACTCAAGGCCGGTGTTACGCGCCGGGGTGACCGATCCAACCCCAACTCTGCCGCATCATTCAGCGAGCTTTATGACGGACCGTTCCCTGGTAGAGGTATCTCCCGCGAGTCCGTCCTGAAGGGAGCCACCATCAACGGAGCCAAATTCTTGCGGGCCGATGAGCAAATTGGCTCTCTCGAGGTTGGCAAACTTGCGGATATCATCGTCACCGAGAAGAACTTCTTTGAAGTGCCCGATGAGAAGCTCGGGCGTAACAAGGTGCTGCTTACAATGCTCGGGGGTGAGGTTGTGTACCTCGAGGACGGTGCGCAGCCTACATTTGGGAGAGACATCGCGCCCAAGTTCCCCAATAACAATGCCGTTGCTGCGAAGATGGCCCGCAGGGTGATTGGCGGGCTCCACGGTGAGCATCTTGACACCCAGGGACGGGCCGAGGTGGTCAGGATGAGGAAGCGCCAGGGTTGTGGACATGGACACGCACACTAGAACATGCAATCTCGATGAGAACGGCCGGCTATATGAGGACTGAGATGTGATTGGAAGAATGTGCTAGAGAACCATTGTACGCACATCACCTTCGCCGAATAATATTGCCGCAACTCCTTCTTAGATAAAGACAATAGATGATAGAGGAGTCTTCACTTTCGTAGTAAATCGAAATATCTTGGGTACATGTTACTACTCTTGCCTTTCCTACCGATACGTCATGTATGTTAACACGTTGTTGGGCTGCCAGGCCGAGACTGGTGTTCAATTTGGTACGTGGCTGTTCGGCGCACTTGCTGAGTAGAATCACCTGTCAAAACTCGAACCAAATCATCAACAAAGATAGAAATGCTAATTGAGAACCCAGAATCTATTTTGGACGCCGTTATTATGGGGGTATATGTATTATGTATAAGTGCACCTCGCTTTTGGCCTGTTAAATGGGGGGCAAGGGTGTTCCGAAACCATCAGTTCTGTCGGCCTTCGAGGTCCAGCAGACCTGGCTTGCACCACAACCGCGCCAGTTGAACATGTCTGAGGGGGTCCAGCAAGAGCTTTCGGCAAACTGCTTGCCGCAAAGTCCGTGAACTTCGTTACCGCCGAGCCATCCATCATCGTTGGCACCGTTGACGTCGCCATCAATAGCGTGGAACTGTCCATCATCAGCAACGTGTCACTAGTAACTATATGAGAACAACTTACGTATGGGCCGCTGTAGGGAGCGTCGTGGATAAGAGGGTCCGTGAACCAAGGACCGTCGCCTTTGGGAATTGGTTAGTGGCATTGTCAGGGATATCTTGGGATGGGAAGAGCTTACTGTAAACGAATCTTCCCTCGGATCCCTTGACTACAGCCTTAGAGGCCTCTTCGTCGATCTGCATGCCGATAGCGCCCTGGTCGGTGATACAGGCGCAGAGGCGGTGCTTGGCAGCGTTGACGTTGGCCGCCCTGGAAGAGTTTAGTCCTGAGTCGCAAAAGAAAGATACCGGGAGGTCAACATACATCAGCAAGACCGCCAGAAAACCGAAAATTCTCGCCATTGTTGATTATTAGGATGTGTCAAGTGTGGAGAAAAAAGGAGTGTATGGAGTTAAGCAGATCAGATTGATGAGAGAACGAGTGTCGTGTGATCATTCAACCTCGCCAACTTGAAGGAAGCAGTATGGAGCTATATACTGAAATTCACAACACCCAAAACGCAGCAAAGGGGCCACAGACGAGCAAGAAAAACATTCAGATCAGCGCCAGTGAATCGGTCTGCCCGATATGTCACGATAATAATACCACCCAACGCCAAGGCGGCCGGCCCGGTACATTCGTAGATTGCCAAGACCAGGGACATGCCTATTTAAATCCTCTGTGCACTAATCACCAGCCAGGCATATCCTGAGTTCCTTATGGGGATTTTTGGAACTTTAAATGAACACTACCTGAACTGCCAGTCGTTTTGACTCTTGACTCAAGAGCAGTCAAAAGTCGTAGTGGGGCCCATCGCCCCTGGATTTCGCCCCCGGTGCCCGTTCCGGACGGCGGGGGCGGGGACCCCGGCTACGAAGACCCGTGACGGCACACGACAACATACCTCAAGCGGAGCCGGCGAGGAATTAAGCGTCAACAAACATGATGCCAAGAGTCCTTATTGAAACAGCGAAAATGACATGGAATTTGGAATGTTCTATGACGGAATGGTGGTAGTTGTGTCATACTGCTACCATATAACCCGAGCGCAGACACCATCGTGGACTTCCAAAGTCGAATTACTTGCACCTTTGAGCTCGTAAAATTTTCCATCCCAACCGGGACAGGATCAGCAGTGAGCGGGCGACTCATTACAACTTCGGGAACGGTGCTCAGGATATCCCTCACGATGCGGTGAGCGAGTCGCTCTGACAACAAGATGGATACCTGGCTGCTTTTGGACACTAAAAGTGGTGGAAAGGTGTAGAACCTGAGTGGCTTGAGCAAGTTGAGTCCCGGTCTCCGCGAGTCTTTCAACCTCCTCTTCTCATGATCATCCGATTTACTTCCCAAACCACATGAAATCAATGGTTACTCTACCCTGGAAGGCAAGATTACCAGGCCGGATCGCATGACTGAGGTCGCTTATCGAAGAGATGTGGTTGCTCAAGTCATTGGCAAATGCCTCACCTTGCAGCTGTTGATAACTCCTGAAAGTCATATTTCGTGATTGGACAACGAAGTACACTTGGACATCTTGTCCATCGGGCATAGCACGATACTTCACTACTGTGTCTGGGACTCAATGTAACTCATTTATGCGTTTCAATATGTTTCATGTTTCAAAGCAGTGGTAACTAGACGCAGCTGTTCTCCAGCCGGTACAAGAATGTGTACAAAACAAACAAGTCAGAATTATGACAGCGAAGTCTCCTTAGGTCTGGGTAGACTTGTTCCGCAAGCCCCACACTCCATCGTATCGATCCATGTCAAGAGCCCAGACCTTTCACCTCCGAAAGCCTCGTCCTCTAACCGGAGGTAACGTGAAGAGGGCCGTTGCCGTCATCAACAGGGCACCCGGGTCCGTCCGAGTCAAACTCGACAACACAGCTGCCGTCGATTCCGATAGAAATCCCGATGAACTCGGTGTCCTTCTGCTGCGTGCCGCTGCCGAGCTCGTTGCCGTCCTTGGTGCTGACGTCGCACGTCTCGGGGATGCCGCCAAAGTCGGACTTGCAGTGGAACACGCGCGGGGTGTCCCAGCAGGAGCCCTCGATGGTGAAGGTGCGGCCGTTGCCCGTGTTGTAGCAGGGCGAGTGGTCGCTCGGGGTGGAGTCGTCGTAGATGGCATCGCCGTTGTCGTTGATGATGGCGAAGCCGCTGTAGTGCCCGCTCTGGGAACCGGCGCCGGGCCCGCTGATGGTTGAGAAGCTGCCCGAGGACCAGACCACGCGGAGGTGCTCGGCGTAGGCGGTGGCGGAGAGGCCGAGGAGCCCGAGGAAGAGGTTGCGGATGAAAGACATTGTAATGATGATATGTGTTTGTATGAGAGGTGTGTTGGTGAAGCTGGGTGAAGAGTGAGGAATGTAGAGTTGTTGCTGATACTGAGATGCTTTCTTTCCGTGACTTGACACAGGCTTTTATACGTTTATTCTGCTTGCTAAATACTTTGAAGGATGGCAATCCCCGTTTGCCCGACGTCTTCGAAGCTCAATAAGCTGATATCATAGCATCGTGATGCTTCTCAACTCAACTCGGTGCCTAGCACATCGTAAACAGTCGTTCTCCGCCAAAGGAAGTTCTTTTGTTGCCTGGTCCAAGTCAGAAAACTTCTCTAGTGAGACCAGACTGCCATCAGCGAAGGGGAAAAACTGGAGAAGACTCATCGATGATCTTAATGAAGCACACACGCGGATAGGACAGAGAACGACTGACCGTGATGGCAGACCCCATGGGACAGAATAAGCCTCGCGATCCACTGAAGGAGTTATTCACCCAGTTTTCTTACCCACTTGTGGGAAACGGTTGTATGGCGGAGCAGCTACATGGCCATCGCGCAGTGCAATAACACACGGTCCTTGTGCTAATACCTGTCCAAAGAGCCAAGTATATTGTCACGACACTGTGCTAGTGTTAAGAGCTACCAAAACATTAATCACCATCCAAGTGTTGCGAACATAACCTTTATTTTAGCATGCCTTTGATTTCACCATTGATTGTTGTTTCCAATCATAAATAGCCTGGCTGCGTAGCCGCATCTGCGACCTGACCGCAAACAAGAGCACCTCAACACCCATCTTGGCATCCTCAACTCCCGAGCCGTACCCGTCGCCAGGATCGCAACCCCGGTCGCGCATTTGGATCTCTTGTCCAAAGTCGGCAGAGTTGAGTACCAGAAGAGAAAACTTGGCAATCGATCAAGAGGAACGAGCTCGGTCTCGATCCACAACCAACGCGAAAGCCAACCACGAACCACACAATAATGGTGCCTGCTGAACCCGGGGCCGAGCCTTCGCCTCGTTCCCAGTGCCAATCATGGTCATTCATGCTTAAGATACACAGTTGAGTGGAGCGTCGTCGCTTACGAGCGTGGCCTTGTTTTCAAACGATCGGCATTGCATCAGGAACGGGTGTACCCACCCGGCATAGCCGCAGAAATCCTCCGCGGCAGAGTGCGGCTGCCACCGTCCCGCCGATCTGAATGTTTGCTCCCTTGCCTGGACCGTTCGTCAGAGTCTGTCAGGCTTCGTGGTTCGCGCGTCTAGTCTTCGTTGATTTGGTTGATTGGTTCACGCCGCCATGTTCGACCGTCTAGGCAGCCGTTTAGTAGCCAAGATAAAATCGACGATCGGGCACTCCACACCATGTGTCAGACAGAACACTTGTTAAACGAGAGAATCATCAGTCTCTATTGAGCTAAAGCCAATTCGGGCGGGCAAATTATTACTATATACGTTTTGTGTAGTTGTAGTAGTGTGTAGGCAAAACGCAAAGACAGGCGTAAAAGCGAGCGACCTGTAGGCCTCCCCTTGCAAAATCGATCCATCCTCCATTCATCGTCATTTTCTTTTCCCGCTATGCATCAGGAAAGTACAAAGGAAAATTACTTTAATACCTCTCCCTTGATATCCCCAAACAACAAATAGTTTCGTGTCTCGGAGAAATGAAGGAAGGGCAGTGTGTCCATCATCTGAGTGTTGTATGTGTATCTTCTCAGCAGGATGTTGTAGTAGTTGTCTTGCGAAAAAGGGGGTATCATCATTCTAGTGTGTCCAGTCTTGGGCTCAAAAGCATGCTGCGTCAAAGATTGACTGCGGTGCGAAAGACAAAGGAAATCCTCCACATTTCCACTGGTATGACTGAAAACTTCTTAATCCTCAAAGAAGTCATGGTCGTCAAAGTCGCCCGGGTGAGCATCCGAGTCGTAGCCGCTGGATCGCAGCATCGGCGGCGGAGGCGTCATGGGTTGGTGTTGGCTTGATGGACGATGAGCAGGCGGGCTCTTCATCGACACCGACGGTCCGTTGGTGACGGAAGGTCCC